CCCCTTCCCTCCCCTCCCCTCCCCTCCCGTCCCCTCCCCTCCCCTCCCCTCCCCTCCCTCCCTCCCCTCTCTCCCCCATCTCTCTCTCTCTCTCTCTCTCTCTCTCTCTCTCTCTCTCTCTCTCTCTCTCTCTCTCTCTCTCTCTCTCTCTCTCTCTCTCTCTCTCCTCTCCCTCCCCTCCCCTCCCCTCCCCTCTTTTTCTCTCCCCTCTCCTCCCCTCCCTTCTTTCTCTCTCCCCTCTCCTCCCTCCTTTCTCTCTCTGGCTCCCTTTCTCCCTCTCTGCACCACCCCAGCCTCGCATGTCTTGGCGAGCGGCGAGGTCCTGCAGCCAGCAAGAGGTGCTTCTCAGTCGGGACAATTATCTCTGCACGGGCGGATGGGAGACCCTGTTCTCGTGACCGTTAGCAGGGGAAGGAGCAAGGGCAGAGACAGGTCTAGGGGCAGGGGCAGGGGCAGGGGTAGAGACAGGTCTAGAGGCAGGGGCAGGGGTGGAGACAGGTCTAGAGGCAGGGCGAAGGGACGTTAGTAGGTACAGGGCCAAGATCAGGGACAAGGGGCAAGGGCTAGGGAAGGGATGAAACCAGGGGACAGGGCCGAGGCTATGAGAGCAAGCGTGCGGGTATATAAGGGTAGGGAATGACATTAGGAAAGGATGTTGACGAAGGTTTCGATTATATCTTCGTCAGAAATACATTCATATCCGACGATAGATATAATCGAAGCCGGTCAAACGCATCTCTTAGTATTGTGAAAACATCCATTCTCTTTCATACCATTTATTACATAACAAAGGAGTTTTGTACATATATATATATACTGCACCAGCACGAGGTGGGATCAAAGGCATTCCTTTGTCTTCTTAAAGGGGTTTAGAAAGAGCCTGTTTGATTGCTACATGTGGGTTGTTGAGTGTACAATGCGTAATTAAATGTAGCGTAAGTAAAAAGCGAAATAATATCCTTTCTTGTAGTCAAGCTGTGTTAGTTTGCATGGCAATTTTGTGCTGGGAATCTTAGCATTAGCTTTGATGTGCAGCTTATATTTTCCACGCACTGCTTTGCGGAGAGTGGATAGATAAAGGCGGTTTGACGAAAGGAATAATTATTTGAGAATAAACGAATAGGAGGAAAAAATATCTTCGTATGCTAAGCTAAATTTGATAAATATAATAGGGGGTAAGATATTTCATTTAGAGCAAAATATCAGGAATTGGAGTGAAGGTTATTAACGCGAAAATTTGGCATTGACGAAAATGAACATACACCGTCAGTAAACCAGGAATTAAATGAATGCGTAATCACAACCAGCGAAGGAGCCGGGAGGTCGAGATGACGTACCCCCTCCCCTCTTCCCCCTTCCCCTCCCCCCTCCCCTCTCCCCTCCCCCTCCCCTTCCCCCTCCCCTTCTCCTCCCCCTTCCCCTCTCTCTCCCTCTCCCCTTCTCCTCCCCCTTCCCCTCTCTCTCCCTCTCCCCTTCTCCTCCCCCCTCCCCTCTCCCCTTCTCCCCCCCCCCCCCCCCCCCCCGTTGTGTGTTACGTCGCGCTGTAACGTCGCTCGATAGTGTGTGTCCGTGACTCCATAAAGATGACGTATGGAGGAGAATGAACAGGTTAAAATGGTGTAGATTATGCGTGTGTGGGGGGGGAGGGGAGGGGGGGCGGGCGACATGGAATAAAGCGAGGGAGTGGAGAGAAGCGAAAGAGAATGAAGGAGTTGGAGGGAATTATCACGCTAATGGGCTGCGTTGGCTGCGATTTACAAAAGGGAGAAATGAAAGAATGAGGAAGGGAGAGGGAGGGAGAGAGTGAAAGAATGAGAGAGTTAGAGAAGAGAGGGCCGGTAATGCAAACAAGAGAGAAAGAGGAAAAGGAAAAAGGGACACAATCTAAAGAAAGAGAGAAAAAAAAAAGTCACAGTCGGAAGAAAGGGGGGGAATAACCACCAGAAGAGAGAGAGAGAGAGAGAGAGAGAGAGAGAAAGAAAGAAAGAAAGAAAGAAAGAGAGAGAAAGAGAAAGAAAGAAAGAAGAGTGAGAGAGAGAGAGAGAGAACGAGAACGAGAACGGAAGACACTCGCTCGGCCATACCTTCCGCGTCTCCCGTACATCGCCATAACAGCAAATTGAAACGAGGAAAGCGGTCGTTTCTGCCCGCCAGGGAGTCCCCGCCGAAACGACTGATAGGGATTTACAGTCCTTCGAGGCTCTCATTTTGCCGACATTAAAATGAGAAGAGCGGGGGGGAGGGGGGGGCGGTACGTTGGGTCGCCTGCTGTGGATTGGCTAATTTTTCTTTTCCAGGTTCGATTTCGCACCTCTCTGTCTGTCTGTTTGTCTGTCTGTCTCACTTTCTCTATTTTCTCTATTTTTTTCTGTTTTCTCTATTTACTCTATTCTCTTTATTCTCTTTATTCTCTCTATTCTCTCCATTCTCTCTATTCTCTCTGTCTCTCTCTCTGTTTCTCTCTCATCTCCTCTCTCTCTCTTTGTCTTGTGCTCTCCTCAGTCGCCCATCAAAAATATATTCATATATTAATATTACAATAAAAAGAATGCGGGTTTGTGTATCTGTTGACTCGAGTCTTCTTTTCAGTTGCATGTTTTGAACGTCATGATTTTATGACGGCTGCTTTCATTAATATTATGATCAGTTTTTTTACACTTTCGCTCTGTGAGAGTTTTTTGTGGTCGTAAAATCCGTATTTTCCCCCTTTTTTGTCTTTTGTTTTGGTTCGGCGGTTTTGTTTTGGTTTTGTTTTGTTATTTTTTTCGTATACATAATTTTGTTGTTTCGTTTAACATCGTCTTCAAAATTGCATAATTGATAGTTGCATTAGGGAGGGGAGGATGCAATCTGTGAATGTTCTGTGAATAGCTTGTGTTGAGCGTGGCGAGGGGGTGGTTCTGTTGCAACGGAAATATTATTGTGATCGTTGCTGTATCTTGCATTGTGATGGACGTTCTAAGTAACATCAGTCTGCTATTGATACACTTAGTACACTTCCTTCAGCTCGTGGGTGCCATGTACTGTCATAATTGAAAGTCAATCGTAGAATTGATTATGATATATTTTAGCATCCGATATCCCTTGTGGGCTAGTCCTATACACTTCAACTCCATTTATATGTTGTGTCTTGATAGACTTCGAAAGCTTTATCATGCTCTTCTGTGCGTATATCGCGTGCTGTGATACACTTCAACAATAACTGTGCAATGTGTTATAATACACTTTAAGACCAACTGTACCACGTGGGATAAAGTGGTATAGTACACTAACACGAGCTGTACTGTGTGTTATGATACACCTCCACATGTACCACGATACATTTTAATACTAACTCTACCATGTGCTACGAAACACAGAAACGCCAGCAGTATTATGTGCTGTAACGGTACCGTGTGGTGTGATGTATTTCAGCCCCGAATAGCCATGGTTCTTCTTCTATTTAGAGCAACATTCTCGCACACGAGTCACGCAAACAGATTAGCATTTGTCATTGTTTAATGGCAGACTACTGTATATACGTACAGTGATGAACTTTCCCGACTTTGGCGTCTTACGTAATACTTCTAAAAAAAAAAAGAAAAGAAAAAAAAAAAGCTAATCATGGCGTCCAGATCACGTGCGGAAGCGAAGCAGTAAGCGCATGCTGGCAAGTATGTGCATGATTGCGGCTGCATGGTGATAGCGGGCGGCCACGCACGTGGTTCCCTGAACGCCCCGGATGTAAACAAGATGGGCCTGTTCGAGCCGCGTCTTCGGAGTGCGTCTCGGGTTTTTCCTTCCGCTGAACGTGTGAGATGTGGGTTCGCGTGTTTATTAACCTGGACACGAGTTGAGCGTTGTGGTAAGCAGGTAAAGCAAGATGTTAATCAATTGCGAGATAAGTAACCGCGCTTAATTACATGCCTCGCTCACATGCGGCGAGGCGGAGGCAGCGCTGCCGTGACTGGTACTGCGGAATGAATTTGGGGAAGGGAGGGGCGGGGGCTCAGCAGCCTCATCTTGGTATGGATGGTTTGTTTAAATAGGAGGAACTGCAAGGTAAATTCGCATTTCTTGCAATGTAATATTTTGCATACTTTGCCCACCGAGCGCCTGTGATTGCATATCAAAGGGAATAAAGCCTCCGGGCAGGAAGCACCAGTGTGTGCTTGCGCTGCATTTTTTTACGTCAATTACTCAGGCTTTCCCGCCGGCGGTTTTCGTCCGCATTTGAACCGTTACCGAACTGCAATAATTATTTTGATAATGAGAGCGGCGGTGACTCACGCCCGGAGGATGGCGAAGGCGCAGAGAGTGGATATTGAGTGGCTGAAGAGGGGGGGGGGGGTTTGACCCCGAGGAGGGGCGACGGCGTGCGACAGGGGGCGCCTCCGCACGCCAGGTGTGCGTGCGTGGATCGGCTCACCATACGGCCGCGGCGCCCTCCCTCGCCTTCTGCGCCGGGGGCTGTGCCTCACAGGGTCACTGGGACAGGAAGCCTTGGCGGGCGAGGACGGGGAGGGAGACGAGGAGCATTTAATGGTCTTTTTCGTGGGACGTTTCTTGCGCAGGTGTAAAAGCAAGATGTTCAGTGCTTGAGATTCTCGTACGTGGTGAAGCTAAAGAGACTAGTGCATTTACTCGAGAAACTAAAGGACTACAAAGCCTTACGTAGCGCCTGACTGCTCCCGCTGCTTAATCAGGACACCGCAAGAGCAAGGGCCAGAGCGCGCGGGAACGCAGCAGCCGACGGCGGTGATGGCAGGTGACGTGTTGCGCTGCGCGTTCTGCTGAGTTGTTATGGCGGACATGAACACCCTCGAGACATGAAGGCCTTCGTCAAGCTCAAGCATCTGCTCGGATCCCGGGACGTGACGTAGCAGGCGAAGGAGCAGCCGCCGACCCTCCCGCCGAGCGAGGCCGCGCCGCGGGTGCGCCTCGCGCCGCGCACGAACATTGCCAGCGTGCAGGGAGCGGGGGCCGTCGTCGAGCTGGGCGGCGGCGTCAGTGTTGGGACTATGGGCAATGAGGGCGGCAAGATCACCAGCTACGATGACCTGTACATCGAGAACCACGCCGGCGGCGACGCCTACGAGCACACCGGCGCCTCCCTCGACTCCCGCATCCGCCGCCTCAACGCCAAGCGCCGCACGAGCATCGTGTTCGGCCGCAAGCGGGCGCGGGAGCTGACGGAGAGCGGGGCCGACGACGACGTCTCCAGTGACGACAGCGGAGGCTTCCGGACGGAGGCGAGCGAGAAGGAGCTGACGTCGTCCCCGGAGAAGCCCCGCCTGAAGGGGATCCTCAAGACCCGGAGGCGGCGCCGCCTGAGGATGGAGCAGCAGCCCGGCGCCACCCTGGTCAATGCCGGCTCCCAGCAGTCGGTCAACTCGACCTCCATCGACGACTTCCTCCACACGCTCGTCAGGGTGGACAGCGCGGAGAGTATGGAGGACCTCGCCAAGGACTCCATAGATTCGTCCGCGAGCAAGGCCGACGCCGTCCAGCCAGCCCCGCGGGACGCCCCGCCGCTGCCCCTGGAGTCCAAATCTCCGGACCAGCCCGCGTCCGCCAGGTCGACGAGCCTGTCTCCGACACGACCCCTGATGAACGGGCTCATCCCGCAGACTCAGCCGCAGCCGCAGCGCCGCCTGTCCCGCCTGCCGCCGAGTCCCCCCCCGCGCTCCAGCTCGAGGACCGTCATGTCCAAGAGCGAGTATTCGCCCACGCCTCCACCACCACCTCCGCCTCCGGCCAACCCGACGCCGCCGCCCATCCCGCCCAGGACGTCGAGCACGACGGCCGTTAAGGTAGAGGTTCACCAGGATCAGTTTATCCGCGCAGGGACGCTCCCCCCGACGGTGGCTGACGTGGCCGCGCCGGGTAGCTCGGCCGCCGCGAGGCTCCGCTCCCCGAGGCTCGCTGCGCCGGACAAGAAGAGGTCGTTCGCCCTCGATGAGCTGGAGGAGCAGATCTTGATGCTGGACTCCCCCAGGGTCCAGGGTGACGCAAGGTTCAAAGACTCGCCCCCGGGAACGCCGCCGCCCACGGGGAACATTGACGCGTACACGCCGAGGCTGGACATGAGCCAGGAGGGCGGAGACAGCCTCCCCCTCGCCGGCAGCCCCCGCGTACCCGTAGCGGCGGCCCAGCGCAGCCCCACGAGGCCGCAGTTCCGCAAGTCGTCGGACATCGCGCACCTCTACCTGTTCGGGGCGCGGGGCTTCAGGAAGAGGCCAGAGCAGCGCCTCTCCACCGTTTCCACTTCCTCCGAGTCGGTGGCTCACGAAGCGGAAGCGGCGCCCAGTCTGCCCCCGAGGTTTTTTCGCCCTCCCGTGCCCTTCGCCAGAAGGGTTCTCACGGGGAAGGTGCGGAAGCTTACCAAGAAATTCGAGAAGAGCATCGCGACCGGAGGAGCCGTGGCGGAGTGCAAGGACTCGAGTGAGGAGGACGAGGGCGAGACCACCAGCGCCCGCCTCAGGAGGCTCTTCCGCCGTCAGCTGGATGAAAGGGCCTCGGCGAGGACCGGCTTCCAGTATCTGACGGTGGGGCCGAGCGGGGACGTGGTGCAGCGAGGCCCCTGGGTCTCTGCCAAGCAGCCCAGCCCGGCCGTGAGGGACGCCTCGCCTCAGGTACAGTATGTGCGGAAGTTGTCATGAGGATGAGATGAGTTTTGCATTATGTTCTATGGGCCGTGTATCAACCCTTGTAATTCGGGAATGTAAACGGAAATCAGAAACGTAGCAGATTGATTTCGAAAACTGGTAATCACACATCCACAAAGACAGACATACAGGCAGAGTAGAGGGAGCACACGAGTGCATCCTTGAACAAACAAGAGGTAAATCACTTAGCAAATACGAACAATTAGAATTAGACAAACTCCGTCTCATACATGTGTCTGTTATAGGCTGGTCTTCCACGTCATCTAATTTTAACACTGATTCTACTTAAGAGACCTATTTTATTTCCTAAAGTCGTACGTATCAGAAAATTTAAATAAGAAGGAAAATTCCTGACATTCTTTTACACAGTGATAGTAATTGCTTCGTCTTCGACTGACGAGATGATATAAATTGTTATCTACTTCCGTATGAAAGAGAGAGAGAGAGAGAGAGAGAGAGAGAGAGAGAGAGAGAGAGAGAGAGAGAGAGAGAGAGAGAGAGAGAGAGAGAGAGAGAGAGAAGAAAGAGGAGAGAGAGAACGAATGGTCTTCAGATTCCAAAATCAATTGATCTTTTCCGCAAATTCATATACACCAACGACATCCTAAATTCAATTCAGATACATCAATCTATGATGTAAGAAGTCAAAGAGGACGTAGACACACCAAAGCCTCTTCCAAGATCACCGAGAAGGGGGCACTGAGCTGTGATGATGATGACGTACAAGCCAGCTGTTTATCGTGTGCGCCGGAGTACCGTGTACCCCGCGCGTGAGGGGAAGAGGGAAGGTTCCGGTAAGTGATAATTCTTGAGGAAATGAAAATATTGCGTGGCCGAGGGTTGTCAGGTTCGCATGTCGGAAGTCTTCTGTCTTGCGTCATGGGCTCGATACGTTTCGTGTTTTGCTTTTATTTACTTTTTTTTCGTTTTCTTTTACTTTCCTTCTTTTCTTTTTGGTGCACTTGAGACAAACGAGTTGACGTACGTGTATCTATACGTGTAAGATGTCTAGGTTGATGAAAGAATATTGTATTGTATGAATCTCTGGCGTTCATTCTTGAATTATGAGAGAGAGAGATATTGTTAATCGCAGGCCTGTCGTTACAATGAAATCCGCAGTATCTCATCACAAAGAATTAGGGGTGCAAGAGTTGCCAAGAGAAACTTATCTCTGGTCGCCATGGAAACACTGAACAAATTACCTCGGCGTTTTAATATCCATCATAGAAGGATAAGTGAGCTCTGAATAATAATTAAAAAAATCCCTGGCCAATATATAGAAAGAATCGTAAATGAATGAACAGGAGAGAATGGCAGATGAATGGATAAGCCTCAGAGAAGAAAATAAAAAAGAATGATCAGGCAACAGAATGAATATGAGATGAATGAACGAACAATTCGCAGAGAGATTCGCACGTGAATGAACAAGCGTTAGAGAGAATCTTAGACGAATGGACGCGTTTGCATGGCACAAGGATGTTTCTAGCGGATTCGACATGGTGCTGTTAAACTTATTAGAAAAAAACAATGTATTTGACCTTGACTATTTCCTAATGACAACCGTAAATTCAAGAACAGTTCACAGGGATCAATTTTAGAAGATCGAACAAGCCCCAGAGAGAATCTTTAGGCGAGTGGACAAGAGAGAAAATCTTAGATTGAATGACTAACCCCCAAAGACACGAGAGACGTAAACAAACCAGCCCCTCGTGAAGTGCCGAAACACGACCCTCTCGCATGCATGGCACTCGACACTCCAGCTGGGCGTTACCTCCTCGGTCTAAAAGAGCATCAAGAGTTAACATACGGCTCTGCCATTACACGTATTCTCACCTTGAGGGGGGGGGGAGAGCGGGAGAGGGAGGGGAAGGGGAGCCAAGGAGATTATTTGGGCATAAACAAAAAACAAACAAAAAAAAAAGTGGGGAAGGGAGGGGAGACAAGGAGATTATTTCGGCATAAACAAAAAAAAAAAAAAACAAAAAAAAAAATAGAAAGAAGGTTGAGGTCTAAGCAAACTCGGCAGATCGTAAAATTGAAGGAGGTTCCCCTCCCTCCCTCCCCTCACCCCCCTGGTTTAAACGTGAGTGGGGGAGACACGGGGGGGGGTGTTAGAGATAAGATGTTGCTCTTATTGTGATTATTATGTTGAAGAATGATTTTGGTTATTGTGTTTTATTCTTTTTGTTGTTATTATTGGTGTTTTTTAAATGTGGTGTTGGTGTTGCTGTTATCATTATCATTAGCATTATGATCATCAGTTATCATCATCATCGTCTCCATTATCATCATTATTATTAATATCAAAAAGATGTTTATATTATTGCTGTTTATTTTTCAAACCGAAACCGTGATTTAAGTTAATGTTTAAGTTTAGTGTCAAGTTGCAATACATGATGATATTTTTTTAAAGATTTCAGCGTAAGTCGATTTAATCTGGCTATTAACGCAATGGAAGAGAGACATAATGGCTGTTGTGACAATGTGTTTGATAGAGTTTATGGGAATTCTTTCTTGTTTTGTTTGATTTGCTGACTCGTTTGTTGAGTGATTGAATTTAAAATGAAAAAATCAGTTTTGGTTTGCATGATCTCTTTTTCTCTTTCTCTTTCTTTCTCTTTCTCTCTCTCTCTCTCTCTCTCTCTCTCTCTCTCTCTCTCTCTCTCTCTCTCTCTCTCTCTCTCTCTCTCTCTCTCTCTCTCTCTCTCTCTTCTCTCTCTCTCTCTCTCTCCTCCTTCCTTCATTCCCTCCTCCCTTCCTCCCTCCCTTCCTTCCTTCCTTCCCTCCCTTCCTTCCCTCTCTCCCTCTCCCCCTCTTTTCTCTCCCTCCCTCCCTCCTCCCCTCCTTCCTTTCCTCCTCCCTACCTTCCCTGCCCCCCTTCCTTCCCTCCCTCCCTCCCTCCCTCTCTCCCTCCCTCCCTCCCTCCCTCCCTCCCTCCCTCCCTCTCTCCCTCCCACCCTACCTTCCCTCCCTCCTCTCCCTCCCTCCCTCCCTCCCTCCCTCCCTCCCTCCCTCTCTCCCTCCCACCCTACCTTCCCTCCCTCCTCTCTCTCCCTCCCTCCCTCCCTCCCTCCCTCCCTCTCTCCCTCCCACCCTACCTTCCCTCCCTCCTCTCCCTCCCTCCCTCTCTCCCTCCCTCCCTCCCTCCCTCCCTCCCTCCCTCCCTCCATAGCCAAGAAGGCCAATTGTTAATCTTACGCACTGCTCACTTCTCTGCCATTAAGGGAAAGGTTTTACGCATCCTCGCATCGATTTCGCCAGCTGTGTTATCAGCTTGATTAAATTACGGTTATGCCGCGGGGTGGTGGTGGGTGGGTGTGTGGGTGTGTGGGGGTGGGGGTAAGGGGGGGGGGGGGGGGGGGTCCTATTAGCCGTAATTGACTTAGGTGCGATTACGACTGGGTTAAAAACCGGTGGCTATTTAACTGGTCTTCACGCTGGAAATGGGGAGGTAGATGGGTAGGAGGGAGGGGAGGGAGGAAGGGAGGGATGGGAAGAGGGAGGGAGGAAGGGAGGGATGGGAAGAGGGAGGGAGGGAACGTAGGAGGGAGGAAGGGATGGAAGGGAGAGGGGAAGGGGGGAAGGGAGGGGAAGAGGGAAGGTGGGAAGGAGGAAGGGATGGAAGGAAGAGGGGAAGAGGGAAAGGGAGGGGAAGAGGGAAGGTGGGAGGGAGGAAGGGGGAGGAGAGGGAAGGTGGAAAGGAAGACGGAGAGAGGGAGGGAGTGGGAGAGGGAAGGATTGATATAGGGAGGAAAAATGGGGATGATGGAAGAGAGATGGAGGGAGTGGGAAGGAGGGAGTAAATGGGGAAGAGAAGGAGAAGAAAGGAGGTTTTATGAAAGGTAAAGGTGGGAAAAGGAATAGAATGTGGGGTGGAGGGAGGTGAGAGTAGATGAGAAAGAAGGAAAGAGGGAGAGAAGGAGAGAAGGAGAGAAGGAGAGAGGGAAAGAGGGAAAGAGAGAAAGAGGGAAAGAGGGAGAGAGGGAGAGAGGGAGAGAGGGAGAGAGGGAGAGAGGGAGAGAGGGAGAGAGGGAGAGAGGGAGAGAGGGAGAGAGGGAGAGAGGGAGAGAGGGAGAGAGAGAGAGAGAGAGAGAGAGAGAGAGAGAGAGAGAGAGAGAGAGAGAGAGAGAGAGAGAGAGAGAACATAAACAGAGAGAGCGACAGACAGCCAGAGAGATAGAAAAGCAGAGAGAGGATAGATAGGCCGCATACATCGGGTCCGCGCAGAGAAGTCAAGAAAACCATCACGACCGAGATAATGTCGGTATTTCAGAAGCGTCGTTACCACACGCGTATAATCTGCGAGGTTTAAGCAGTTCAATTATCGAGCGCCTAATGGGTTCCCCGCCCACTGTCTGAGGCGAGTCCATTATTTACGACGCTCTTTTTCAGTTTTTTTCTTCTTCTTCTTTCTTTCTTTCCTTGCTTTTATTCTTTCATTTCTTCCTCACTTTCATTCTTTCTTTTTTTTTTTTTTTTTTTTTTTTTGCTCTTTCTTTCTTCCTTCATGTACTGCTTTTATTCCTGATTTCATTCTTTCCTTTTCTTTCCTCCTTAGTTCCTTCTTTCTTTTCCTTAATTCCCTCCTTCCCTTCCTTTCCTTTCCCTCCCTTTCTTCTTTTTTTCTTGATTTTCTTCTTTCCTTTTCTTCCTTCCTTAATTCTTTCTTTCTTTTCATTATTTCCCTCCTTCCATTCCTTTCCTTCCTATCTCCCTCCTTCCCTTTCTTTCTTTTCCCTCCCTTCCTCCTTTTTTCCCTTTCTTCCCTCCCTTCCTTTCCTTCCTCTCTCCCTCCTTCCCTTTCTTTTCTTTCCCTCCCTTCCTCCTTTTTTCCCTTTTCCCCTTCCTCTCTCCCTCCCTCTCTTCTCTCGATGTCCGCTAAGCCAAGCTGTGCGATGGTCAAAGGGGTAAGGAAGAAAGACGTGGAGGGGGGGTGAGGGGGGGTTACGAGGGCGTACACAACCGAG